CGACCGTAAGCGAAGCACCAACGACGGCTGTGGGAACCGATTCTGTTACCGGATCGACCGTAAGCGAAGCACCAACGACGGCTGTGGGAACCGATTCTATTACCGGATCGACTGCTAGCGAATCACCGACTACGGCTTTGAGAACCCATTCTGTTACCGGATCGACCGCTAGCGAAGCGCCAACGACGGCTGTGGGAACCGATTCTATTACTGGATCGACCGCTAGCGAAGCACCAACGACGGCTTTGGGAACCGATTCTATTACTGCACCGACGAGTAGTGAAACGCCAACGACGGCTATCGGAACCGATTCTATTATAGCATCGACTGGTAGTGAAGCATCAGGTACCGCATCGACAGGTAGTGAGACGGTTCCTCTCGTGCCGCTAACTGAAGCGATGTCTACATCCACAGGCAGCGAAATGGCAACTACGAGTTTGGGAACCGATTCAACCAAACCGAAGTGTTCTACGGCAGCTAGCGGCTTCTCTACGGCCTCGACTGCACCCAGCAGCGGGTCTCAGACCACTTCCGAATCGACTGGATCTACTCAGCACGCTATCACAACGGTCTCCACTGGCTCTGATACTTCTGCACTTTCGACCTGCGCAACTCCTGGCACCACTGCGCCCAACTGCATTTGCATGTCCACGACTCCCGGATCCCCGGCTACAATGAGCATGGGAACTCAAAGCACCGCAATCACAGAAGCCGGAACCAGTTCCGAGGCAGCCCTTGTCACGACAGCCCCAGCAGGTGGAACTGACACGGCCAGCGGAACCGGCTCTCAGTCAACTGGAATTACCGGCATGACAACTGATGGTATCACGGAAGCTGTTGCTACCGCTCCCACAACCGCCAGCGCGGCTAGCGGAACTAGCTCTCAGTCGATTGGAACAGCGGGCGTTACTACCGGCGCGGTTACTGGAACCAGTTCGGCTGACGGCACAGAAGCTGGCACGGCTAGTGCAACTGGCTCTCAGTCTACTGGAACTGCGGGCATTATGACCGGTGCTACCACCGGCGCTACCACCGGCACAGAAGCCGGCACTACTAGTGCAACTGGCTTCCAGTCGACGGGAACTGCGGGCGATACGACGGGCGCTGACACTGGAACTACTACGGCCACTGGCACAGAAACGGGAGCGGCTAGCGGAACTGGCTCTGAGTCTACTGGAACTGTGGGCCTTACGACCGGCGCTACCACCGGCACAGAAACAGACACCGCTAGTGCAACTGGCTCCCAATCGACTGGAACTGCGGGAGTTACGACCGGCGCTACCACTGGAACTACTACGGCCACTGGCACGGAAACGGGAACGGCTAGCGGAACTGACTCGGAGTCTACTGGAACTGTGGGCGTTACGACCGGCGCAACCGCCGGCACCGAAACTGGCACTGCTAGTGCAACTGGCTCTCAATCGACTGGAACTGCGGGCGTTACGACCGGCGCTACCGCTGGAACTACTACGGCCACCGGCACCGAAACGGGGGCGGCTAGGACGGAACTGGTCTGAGTCTACTGGAACCTGGCGGCGTTACGAGGCGGTGCTACCACCGGCACCGAAGCCGGCACTGCTAGTGCAACTGGCTCTGAGTCTACTGGAACTGGCGGGGGTTACACCGGTGCTACCACTGGAACTACTACGGCCACTGGCACAGAAACAGGAACGGCTGACGGAACTGGCTCTCAATCGACTGGAACTACGGGCTTACGACCGGCGCTGCCACCGGCACTGCTAGTGCAACTGGCTCTCAATCGACTGGGACTGCGGGCGTTACGGCCGGCGCTACCGCTGGTACGCTACGGCCACCAGCACAGAAACAGGAACGG